ATGACTAGCAGCTACGACCTAGTGGCCTAGTACGTCCGTAAACGATGAGTCGAGTAAATTATTATGAAGATAATAATTCACTAAGTCAGAAGAAGTTCAGATAGGTACGACTCACAACTAGCTCGATATTGATCCTAGAGAGTCACACACATATGGTAAGTGTTCCGACGAGTAGATATTCCGATATGCGATATCCGTCAAAGCCCTTATCTTATTAGATATCCAATAAGTCCATGAATTATTGGATCCTATGAATGAGATCCAATAAGAGCCAATGAGAGATTATTAAATAGATATCCACTAATATAAAAGGCATGGGTAATTGGATGAAGATCTAATACCCAAAATGGTATGATCCATTATGGTTAAGTAGAAAGAGGATCTCTATAAATAGGAGAAAACCAAAGAACCATAGGCTAGAGGCTTCTTGGTTGCACCTCATATTCTCCTCTCTCTTCTTCTCCTCAAATAATAGGTGTGGAGATTTAGGTAGTGATTTTAGGAGCGTCATTACAGCCCTGCTGTATGGATCACCGCTACAGAGGAGGGCGCTTGACCTCCTTTATCATCTCATACAGATCTGTAGGGATTCAGGGATATACGTCTCTCTAGGTAAAACACAACTATCTCACATGTGGATTTAAGTTTCGTAGGTTTTTGCGCACCAATCTTCGTACGATGAATATATTTTTGGAAATTTTGGGGGTTTTATTTTTTGTTCTTTTGTTGCGTATGTGATGTCGCTCCCAGATTTCCCTACAAGATATATAGGAATTCAAGGATATACGATCTCGTAGGTAACATAATTTCTCTTGTATGCGTGATTTTTTAATTTTGTGATTTTTTAGGCGTCAATCTTTGCACGACGATGAAACCTTCTTTTATATAGGAAATTCTAGGATTTTTGTTTTCTATTCCTCCGCTAAGCATGTGATGTCACCCCAGATTTTTTAATACTGCCAATTGGTAGTACCACCACTTAACGGTTTAGGAGACTTTGTTTGGGTGGTACCATCACCAATTTGGGTTGTACCAATGCCTAACACTAGTGGTACCACCGTTGAGTCTTCCAAAAAATGTGCACTTTATACGTTCTAGCTCATAAGCGATTTCATTACCTATTCTGGTGGTGCTACCGCCAGACCCAACTTTAGATCACTAAATGAGCCTAAATCAGCCTCGACTCAAGCCCAATGGGCTCATAATTGAGTTAGCATGGTTACACCCAAAACCAAATCAATTACAACATAAACTACTTCGATCAAGACATAACTTATTACAAGTACGAATCTTATATTGTTCGGCATGTCATTAGTTCATCCAACGCTTCGTCCGAACCTTCAACGTATTGTTCCCTCCTTTGGCGTATTGCCTAATCCATCAGCATATTGACCTCTCATAATATTAAATCTTCTTGGCGTAATATCCGATCCTCCTGGCCTGATGTCAGAACTCATGGCACGAAGTCCTTCTGCTAGCACGTTGACCAGTCCTCTGACCCGACATCCAATCTCCTAACATGATGCTCTCCGGCCCAACGTTTGATTCTCCTACTTCAATCGATTTGTCCCTCTATGATCGAAGTTAGTTCTACATCACTCATACGTTGATTAGATCATAACTTTATTAATTGATTTTATCATCAAATATTAAGATTCAATAATCTCTCCCTTTTTTATGATGATAATCGATTGATGGAGTTTTAACTAAACTGCCCCTATCCATATACCATATTAAAATAAATTATCATTCATATAAATGATAACCTTCTAATCTAATTTGAAACAATTTTAATCATAATCCTATGCAACACATTATATCAATATAAACATTATTTACGTCATTATCATAAATCGAAGTATTGTATGTATAATTCCAAATCATCATGCATAATTATAAAATCATCATTACTTTAGTCATAATTTGCATGATAACAAAATATTAATATTTTTAAACCATCATTACTTCAAATCATCATGCAAAAAATCATAAAGCATGATACCAAAATATTTAACATTTTTAAACTATCATTACTTCTCGCCTTTTGTCATCAACAAAAAAGAGAAACGTCCAACTAATAAGTTTTTGAGACATGAAAGCTAGTAATTTAGTAAGTTTTACATTACTTTAGAACATGAATGTTAGCAAAATTTTTGCTTCTCTTGAGATATGCAAGATAGTAATTTTTACTTCTATTGAGATATACAAGATAGTAATTTTTACTTCTTGAGATGGGTAAGCTAACAATTTTTACTTTTCTTAAGATATGCAAGATATCAATTTGTGCTTCTCTTGAGATGTGCAAGTTAGCACTTTTGCTTTTCTTTGTAAGCTAGTAATTCTTGGTTCTTCTTGAAATGTGCAAGCTATTTTTTTTCTACTGAACTCAATCTCACTTCTCTTGATGCTCAAAGTAGCCTCTAATAGCATTAACGACTCCATGTATATCATTAGAGCATTGATAGGTATTGGAACATGAGGTGCCTTTTGTGGTGTCAAGAAAATAATTAATGACAAGGGTACGTGAGGACTAAGCATGCTCCAAAATATATAAAACTTTCAAGTTATGATTTGAGTGAACACCTTTGTGAGTGTGCAAGTCGATAGCATCGGGACCATGAGCACGGACTACTATTCCCTTGAATTGGCTTAATTAACCCTATAATAGGTCAAAAAAATAATGATCAATCAAAATCAATCCTGGGACCCAAACACCTATAGGCCTTAAACTATGTTTATATGCCAAAACAAGATGTCACATCTTGAATTTTTTTTTTTATAGGATTACAATATCTTTCCATAGGTACATCGAGAGCCAAGTAATTAAATATTATTTTAATAATATACATAAATAATAAATATTTATTATAATTTATTTATTTATAAAATATAAATTAAAAATAGTCATGGGTTTTATTGAGAAATATATTACTGTCTACTCAATAATAATGACCAACTGGATCTACCTAGCATTAGAGAAAGGTCTCATCTCCATTGAAATCCGATGGAGAGATGATATTTCATGGCAACAAAGAGTCAGTAAAGTAAAATATAAATGTTAATGTTCAAATAAATCATATAGAATGATTCAAATATATTCGAAAGTTATAGATGAATCTCCACATGAATTATCGCCTTTGTTCACATGAATTATTGCCTTCGTTCACATGAATTATCGCATGACATAGGTTCCATGGACATTCAAATTACACCACGTATTTTGGCTGGTCCACATTCCAAATATCTTCACTTGACTCTCAAATGAGACATAGCTATCATCATAAATGTAATGATGAATAGAGGCCACATGCATTGACCTTGTTGATTTGGATCAGCTTTGATCGAGGAATGAGATGTGATGAATCATACATTTCAATCCACATCGACGTCGGAAGTTGGTTTCTACGGTTCATGTCACGCTACATGCAAATGGCTAAAAATGTTCTTCCATATTTAGGCTATTGCATTTTGATACCAACATTTAGCTCATATAGTACTTGCGGTGGAGCCTCACCCCTTCCATCGTTCTTTAAGACTTTCTCGATGCAATGCAATACAGAAAAATCCAATTCACGGATAGCTACTACCGCTAGTATTATATTACAGCATATATATGACTCATGCCTTCAGATTTGGAGCTTTGAAGAGCAACAAGGTTACGTACTCCTCAAGCATGGGCAGCTTATGCTCCTCATTGTAGCTGTACATCAACTTCACCATGCGTGCCGTGTTGAGGCATGCTGTTACAAAGTCCTGAGAGAAGGAGCTCGATGAGAAGCTTTCTTTATTGAGCTCCTCCCATGCTTTACATATCATCTGCATCACATGTTCTCGTGCACTTTCGACGGAGCACTGTGGGTTCTCTTTCATGAAGCACTCCAAGTATGACCCATCAAATCCTTCTTGTTTCTCGTCCTAAAACACAGTAGCAAATTCCTCCATCTCATGTTATAACGAGAAGCAACGTTAAGTTTGTGGAAACTAGACATCAGTTCTGTATACCTTGGCACTTCCCAGATCATCCCACAGTCGAAGAATTGTTGCAGGAGATGATATCAGGTTGGGATAACTTTCTGCAGAATCCATCGCACCTCCTCCCAAAAGAAAGTTTAAGTGTGTCAACACAAGCGGCACGCCGCAGCTGATCACGCCGTTCCTCAGGTAGTCATCCGCAGGTGGGACATGACCCCTCGCAAACCACATTGCTTCCCTCATAAATGCATTGCTTAATTCAATCCACTGCAAATTATGAATACAAGCTTCATGTCATTAAGAAGAATAATATTCAAATAATAAAAAGAAAAATGTTTGTGAATCATAATACCGATTTCTTTAGGATGTTGATTGGGTTCCACCCATGCTCCTCAAAGATCATTTCTGCAATCTCATTAGTGGTCTTGTACAGTGCGTCGTAGCATATTCTCATGTAACATGGAAGCAAATCGATGGCGGACACTTCCCATCTGTAAATTTGATGTGACAAAAGTGTAACTCTACGTCCGTTGATTTCAAGACATACATAAATGCATGAGAAGACTGAAACGCTTACTTATTGATGGCATCCGTGAAGAGACGAAGCTCATCGAGTGATCCTTTTAGGTCGAAGATGTCATCGATAAGATAGACGAAGGCGATGACTTTGGTCAAGGCAAGTCTGTGTTGGGAGAACTTGGGATTGGGAAGGCTGGTCATTGACCACACGTACCACTTCAAGGATTGGTCTCGGGCAAACCTTAGATCTTGTGATAACCCGGTGTTTCTCCACCAACTATAACACATCAAGGGAGAAAGGAACCAATTACCAACGACGAGACATGTGAATGGGACACATGAACCGATCGACTTTGACAAAGAGATATAAAAGAAGGATTATAGAAACTAAATTTAACATTTCCAAACAAAAAAGGATATGTTATATGTACGAGAATAAATGGATATACGAAGGATATGCTATATAAGATTTCCAAAAAAAAAAAGGATCTGTTATATGTATGAGAGAAATAAAAAGGATAGATTTGGACCGGATATTGGACGTTGTCGGCAATGATGAAGCTCAATAAAGGAAAAGCTCATTGGTTTGAGCCTTGTTCATATGATAATTTGCAGTATATAAAGCAATCCGATAACCAATCTGTTTTATCATTTGGGTATGATTTATGGACTAGCTTTTTGCTTGATTATTATTTTTTGCATGTTCTGAAAACTATGATGATGACTCTATTATCCATTTCCGCGATAAGTTTTCTTATGGACCAATCCTCATTAGACTCTTATATAAGACTTTATTTCGTGTTTGTTATATACAACACAAAAAAATAAAAATAAAAGAAACACCACACACTTAACGTGTCTGTATTAAAAAAATTACCTTGTCATTTCTTGCAACTCCTGTTTATGCAAAGACTGAATCAGAATGAAATCCATCCTGGCTAGTTCTTGAATGATTCTTCTCATTCCTTTGTCTTGATGGTGATGATCAAGATATTGCCTGGCTTTATACCTCTGCAAACTCATATGATATGGATAATCCAATGTCTGCTGAATGAATCTGGCATCGTCTGATTCCAAGCATGCCATGGAAGATTTAAGATGCTCGCTTGCAAACGTGTTGGCTCTGTAAAGTATTTCTTCACCAGTGTTCAAATAGGATGCTTCATACAAGTTTACCATTCCATCGATCTCTTTCCCAAGGGATGTCGAGAAGTTTCCTTTGCCATCCAAGAAGATAGAAAATATATCTAAAAAGGAAAAAAGGATTTTAGCATAGTCTAATTTTGCAACATGTGTTGTATTATGAAAATGATGAGAATCCTAATATCTAACTTCTCCAATTATTTTTGCATTTCATTGTCAAATGATGACATCTTTAGAGATGATTTCTAAGTAGAAAAAATCAGTTATTACATGATAAAAATTTATTATTATTATTATTTATCATAATTATTGATAAATAACAAAAGAGTATCAGGAAAACTTACTAGAAGATATAGGGTGCCGAGCTTGTCGTAATAATCGAAATAAAAGAGTAACTTTCACAAAGTTGTGTATACCATCATCGATAATACTGAAATGATTATTACATAAGGAATCTATTTTTGATTTGATCTCTTCACTGAAATGATAGTCAATGCCTAATCTCTGAAGGAAATCAATCATTAACATTGTATCTAATTGATCCTTGGTCTCGTGGAATACCCTTCTCACTTCCTCTAAACAATTCTTATGCCTATGACATACAAGCTCCTGCATCATAAAATACAAAACAAAGTGAGAGACATATCAATCGCACAAATCCTAAGTTGTCTCTAAATTTAGATTAAGATGCTATGTGTGAAAACACTAATCAACATGTTTATCTATCATATCATCATATTTTGGTTGTTGTTGCACTGTAGGACCGCTCCTTTCATTTCAAGTCATACAAAACGAATAATTCTGATGTTGACGTTTTGCTTAGAAATAAGAAATGCTATTATCACGGTAAACGAATTCTTGTGTCATTTTCTGATTAGATTAGATATTCCACAAATCATATCCTTTTCCACTCTACATGGTTATAGATGGATACTAGATTTATAATCCTATTCTTCAATACAAATTAAATATATGAATACTCTTCATCACGGACAAATAAGTTAGATAATAGTCGTCGAAACTTTCCAACCTTGATATGTGAATAAACAAACACCGAAACATATTAATTATATATATATATATATATATGTGTGTGAGAAAGAGAGAGAGAACATAAGACACTGACTTCATAATCCTTGGGTGTTGTAGTCTCCACCAGCAGCTGTTGTTTGGGACGTAGATGAGGAGGAGGAAGACGAACGTTCGAGGAGAAGGAGATGGGGGCGGCGCCGCCCCTGTTGGTGTGCAAGGAGCAGAACCACTGGGGACGATGGAGGGTGGACATGGAGCCTTGAAGCACTGCAGAGATGATGAGGCTTCTGCGTCGTCACCATGTCTGTTGCTTTGGGTTGTGTCGCATTTATAGTGAAGCTAAACTCCAGGCATCCTATCTAAGAAAACGACAAACTACCAGGAGCCAAGAAAGCATTTGGAGTAGTGGAACATTTATGTCTGTCGTGCAACACGAGGGCTTAAGCGGAAGAGAGCAAGAGGAGGAAGACAATAAAGACCCCTTACGCTGTCATGGTAACGTTGATGAATATGATGATAAGAAGTTATCACCTCAAATCTGAGTAACAATAATCTAAATTCGAATAAGGAAATGATTTCAATTAGATTCAAATGCAAATATATATATATATATATATGTATAATGTTTTAATGGACGGATGCTAATGGAAACCAAACTACTAAAGAATATTGTTTCGTTTACATGATAACAAAGCAAATGTCAATGAATCTCCACCACTTGGACTCTATGACATTGTTTGTTTGCCATTGGCCACACAATGAAACACGTGTACATGTGAACATGTGAATCTCGACAACGTGTACATGTGAATCTCGACGGCGTGAACTCTTGACTTTGATCAGCTATGATCGAGGCTTGAGATGGGATAAAGCATTAATATCTAAAACCCAGAGGGAACAATATTATTTATCCTCCTTATTTCCTCACAGTTTCATTTAATAAATGAATTTACTATAAACGTAAAAATGGTTAAAGTATAATTAAAAATATAATTAAAAAATCAGATTTCGTAAGATCATCAACCTCATAATTGTCGTGAGTCACATGTACTCCGCATGTGAAAATTGCTGATACTACTTGCAATTGTCTTTGTTCAGCTTCTGTCATTGTCAATCACTGTGAGTTCAACTATATAGAAAGTCATAGGCCTTGAATTTGTTAACACTTGGATGAAAAATCAAATCCAATATATGTTATAAGGGTCATACTTATTCATTTTTGGTTAGGGGTTCGGAGATGGTCGCAATATATGGTAACAGATATCAATGTCGCAATAATTCTTTATACATAATCCACACATCAATCATTTCAACCTTTGATAAATAAATTATAACAAAACTTTAATATGTGGCACATCAATCATTGAGCCAAAATTAAAATTCTACTAAAGCAACGGTCAAAGCAATAATAGACGAACATTGAATCATGGTTATCAAATTTGGACCAGTTACTCACCGGCAAACCTCAAATGACTTTGTTTAATGGATGGATTGGTTTAACCACATTATTAATTACAGAATATCTAAAAGTAAAATATAACTTAATAAAGATATGACAAATAAAAAAAACTGTAATATCCAAATGTTGATCTGTACACCTAAATGTAAATACAAAAGTTACTAGGTACTAAATTATAAGAGAGTTCCAAAAAAAAAAGAAAGAAAGAAAGAAAGAGATAGGCAAGGAGAGGATTTGGTAGGAGAGAAAAAGAAAATGACAAGGAAGAAGGAAAAGAGACAGGAGAAGAGCAAAGAAGAAGAAAAGTAAAGAGAGAAATGAAGAAACTGTAATAAAAAACAAAAAAATAAAAAATTTATTGAGGAGTTGTTTTAAATTCATATGAAGTTCTGAAAAATTGTATTAGTTTTGTTTTTAAGTTTTTAATATTTCCTAATAATTATATTAATAAATATGATTATTGATTAGTTAATTGTAACCATCTAAATTAATAAGATGGCTAATGATATTAAATCATTTGATGGTATTTAATTTAATGTTAAAGATAATAAAAGGGATATCTAATTGTGCTTTGAAATTTGATAAAACCCTTATAGATATATGGTTGTGCACCACACCAAAAATATGATATACCAAAATGAATTCGTATATTCTAAATAAAGTATTTACTTATGATAAATTTTGTTAGTACGTGATTCACATTACTTAGCTACTTGTTGCTTATATGATTTTTTTTAAATTTTTATCTAATTTTTTAAATTTGATGAGTAGCTCATTTATGAATATGATTGGAAGAACAATTTAAGGATTTTCAACATCTCTTTAAACTTCGGTTTGTTTGTGTATATGTTATTTAAATATAGATATTGTGGAATCTTGAGGATGTTTTTGACTCTATTGAACAAATAATATATGATTTTTGAGTTGATTGACTATGAATCTAGATATGCGATAATAATATTATGAAAGTTATTGGCTCGTATTCATATAGGAAACTTATAAATTTGTAGCAATGTATTTGTTGACAAATTTGAAAGACTCTGATATCATGGAAAATCTCTCGTAAAAAAGATGATGAGCATCAAGAATTCAGAGAGTGATAACAGAGGAGAATGGGAAACAATTAAAAATTTTAAAAAACTTATTAAATTTGAAAAGTTACAAGGAAACAAAGTGATGTTCTTTCCTCCTCTTCCATCCTATATTCTATCCCACTCTACTTCATGTCTTCAAAATATTCAGATCCTTATCGTCTTGACTCCTCTTTTCTATAAAGACCATCGTAGATCTCTATTCTCGCCTTCAAACCATTCTTCTCAATGGATACTTTGAGTTCTTTACTTCATCACTTGTTGATTGAATACATCAAAGCTTCAATGATAAACTATAGTTACGATGAAAACCTTAGAGTTCTTGCTTGAACAGTAAGTTCTTTTGTAATCCCTCCATTATAATTGTGCAAAGTCTTCTTCCTAAGATTTGGCCTCTATCAAAATCATTATTAGTTTTAGATATGGAAGTAGGATTCTTCTTATTTTATTTTTATTTAGATTCTAGTGCTTTAAAAGTCCTTATAGATGATCCTTGGAATCTCCAAGGAGATGTTTTTCAACTCACCTTTTGGAAACCAATTTTTTAATTGATACTATCCTTATTTTGATTTATCTTTTAGTATCCCGATGAAATATTAGAATGAGGAATATCTTTTTAACCTAACTATCTTTCTATGGTTATGTTGAATCCTAAATTTTAATGATAAAATTAATTGATAAATTTTATGAACTAATATATTTTGAGATAAGTGACAAGGAATGCCTCCATTATAAACTTGAACCACTAAAGAACCAAATGTCGGGCTAGAGATTTGGACATTATATCAGAAGATTGCATACCAAAAAATAGGTATCGAACAAGAGGATTTGTTAATATGCTGAAGAATAGACTTTGTTCTAAAGGTTTGAACATTATGCCGGAAAGATTAGATATCGTGCTGGAAGATCAAATGTCCTGATGGAGTTTACATACTAAAAGATTACGTAATAGGTCAAGGGATAAGACGATGTGTGGAAGGTTCAAACGAAGAATTAAATAATCAAATGACATGCCAAAAAAGTAGACAATATGCTGAAAGCTTTAAAGATATGTTAGATGAGTGGTTGATTTGTTAAGATATTCATTGAGACATTTTGGGCCAATTTAAGTTAGTGTTGAACTAAAACAAAATTCACTTATCATAAAAACTATTAGGCTTAATGTTGGGCCGAATTGAGCTTATTGAAAGACCTAAACTAGTATGGGATAGTGATACCATTAGGCCAAAGTGATAGTACTACTTGAGTCATTAGACAAGCACCATATATGCTTTATCAAAATTTTTGATGATGGTATCGCTTATAGTGATAGTAGTATCACATAGGGTGGTGTGGTATCATCTAAAATTTAATTTTTTTTTATTATAGGATAGTTAGAGCCCAGATTTATGTTTTTGATTTAAATACTATGATGATGATAAAATCTTTTGATGCCTATAAATATTCAACTTAGGCTTGATTGATGAAGCATTCATTCTTGATATTGTGAAGTATTACAGCTCTCTCTTTAAACATTGTTTGAGTCTCTTCATCTCTTTTGAGTATATTTGTGATACTAAGTGTTACAAGTGAGAGATCTCTTGTAAAAAAAAAAAGTGTGAATGTTCTCTATTAATCATTTAAAAAAGTTATAATATGAATAATTATTTTTTATCCATCGAAAAGAAAAATAGTAAAAGTTAGATAATCTCAAAAGAAAAGAAATCATGAGTGAATGTAGGTTAGGAAACTGAATAGCTATAAATCAGTTTGTCTTTTTTCTCTTGTCTATGACTTTTACTCATGAACATTTATTTTGCTTGCTACTATTACTCACATTTAATTTTTGATTAATTATCTTTAGAGTTTTTCTCATTTGAACTTTAAAGTTAGTTATAATTTTAAAATTATATTTAATTTTAAAGATTGAATTTGCTATAGGCATTAATTCACACCCTCCCTCTTCTTAGTTCCATTAAGATCCTAATAGGATATCATCTTAAAATTAATCTTTTTTCAATATATTATAATTTATGTAAAAATTAATGTTACTCTTCCCTTGAAATAAGATATTTAAACTGATAAACCTCAATTTAGCATATTAAATTACTTAGCGATAAGACTGATCTATATCCATACTTCTAAAGATACTCTTAAATTTTTCTTTTTATTTCTTTGATGGAGCTCAGCCCATTGTGGTTGAGTCTCAACTAGGTTTGGTAGCTAAAAATTATTTACAAGATCTAATATTAAAGCCTTGAATTAGAGTTCAACATCATTCATCTTATCATAAATCTTTGACAATGATATCAATGCCAAAGTTAAGGACAAAATCATCATATAACTCAACACGTTGAAAACTTATGAGGGAGTCGATAATTACCTACCCTAATGTCTTTTCGCTAATAATATCTAGGTTGTCTCAATCCTTATCCCATTGTAATTGTATCTTCTCACATTCTTTTGAAAAAAAAAATTTATGGCCAATATGAATATGATAAGTCATGTTGCCTCTCCTATTTAAATTATTAAGGGTTAAGATTCATTTTAGCTCATGTGATTTTGGTCATGGACCATTTAAATCCTTATGATTTACTCATATCTAAAAAAATCCTTATATTTTTAAAAATGTAACATATAAGCCCCTCTTGTCAAGTCTAATTTAATAGACGTTATAGTATGTTTATATGATATGCTGACTTACAATAAACCATTAATATAATGAAATATGTAATTTAAGTTTAAAAAATAATTAAG